CGGGGCTGGGAAGGCAACTCCAAAACTCGGATGTAGCCAAGGACACCTGAGCCCCCTGACACGTGGGGTCCCCAGGACGGGACGGCCTGCTCCAAGCAGAGCCCAACCACAGCAGGGTCTTGTGCAACCTGCATGGCCATTGCTCGGGTTGACACCAGCATTCCCAGCYGCTCAGCTGCATCTATCCCCTGCATCCGTTCTGGCACAGCCCTGGCACCAGCTCCATGTGAAACAGAGCATCCCCAGCCCTGCACACACTGAGGACAAGGTGGGAGCTCATGGGACAGTTGGACTYGTAGGTTCCTTCCCCAGGTTTGTTCCCATGGGGTCAAACGCTGATTCTCCCTGAACTGAGCAGATTTCCTTCCAAGGATTTAACTTTGCACCATGGAACTTGGTACGATCCCAGGACAAAGGCATCCTTAAAGCTTTTTCCACCCACACTTTTCCCAAGCCACCAATAGATCAGACCAAGSCAGCAGGAGGAATCCTGCCCCTGCTGGGCTGCTTCCCTCCTCCAAGGCAGCCTGTTGGGAAGCTGCTTCCCGGCCTGCACGTTTTCCCACCCTTTGGAGCCACAGCTGGACCTCCCGCTCACATTTCACTGCCAGGACCACGAACTGCTGAGTCAAACAGGTCCCAGGGGGAAGGGGCTCCTTTCCCACCCACCGTCTCAGGGCACCTCCAGCTGAAGAGCCGTCCCTGTCATGACAGGGTATTTGTGCAGACCCAGGGTCACACGGTGTGTGGCACCAGCAGGGAGCAGAAGTCCCTTYGGGCTGGTTGGGTTTCCCCAGGGCATCAGGGTGCTGGCAAAGGGCGCCAGGTGAGCGCCGTGCCCGCTCCCRTCACCAGCGCGAGGGGAAGGGACATGGAAGCCGGAGCTGCAGCCAGGGCCACGGGCCAGGCCTGAACCGCGCGGTGCTGCCCACCCTGAGCGCTGAGGGGACCCCGAGCGGCCGAGGGGACCCCGGTGTCYGCTGTCCGGGCCTGGCAGCGCCGGRCGCAGCGTGGCGGCCGGGCCGAGGGCCCTGCCCGGGAGGTGGCAGCAGACACGGCGCGAGCAGCGGGAGGCAGCGGCTCCCGGAGCGGTGCCCGGGCCTGTGGGTTGGGGTCCCCATCGCAYGGCAAGGACGGAGCCCGCAGCCCCCTGCCCGGCGCCCACCCCTGTGCCCTGCTGGGGGTGTCCCCCGCCTCAGGGAACCCCGGGTCACCTCACACTGTCCCCAGCCCAGCCGTCCCGCGGGAGCCAGGCCCGGAGCCCTGGGGACAGCGCGCTCGCTGCAGCCTGGAGCGGGGAGCACCCAGGCTCCGCTGGGTCCCTACGGCAGCGGCCGCCCGAGACCAAGGGCTGCCTGACACCCACAGTGTCCCCAGCAGCGTCCCCAGGGCAGGGGCTGCGGGCACCGTCAGGCTGCCCCTCTCCCAGGGTCTCCAGCTTGGCCCTTGGGACGCAGCCGTGGCTGCGGCAGGGCCGGCTGGCTGGGACACTCCCAGGAAACACCATTTCCCAGGGACGTGACTTCCCCTCCCAGTAAACAAACTCCTTCCACCGACGCTGTTCCACATCATCCCTTCCGGTGGCCCGAGACCTTCCCCATGACCCACCTCCATGTCCCTCCTTGGGCTTGGCCATAGGCCCGGCCCATATCCTGCCTTGCCTGGGACACACGTGGCCCAGGTTTCATTGCACGCCCGTGAACTCCTCGTTAGGTCCTCCTGGAAACCCCAATAACAGGGACTGGCGACAGCATTTTCCCCATCTCCTGCAGCCCACGGCCTCCCGGCACCACRTGACTCAACCACAGCGGTACCCAGGAGGGCTTGAGCTATTTTCAAGGACCTCTGGGTTTTGCTTTTAAAACCAGAGCAGTGGTAGGTGGAAAAACAACCAAGTGACAGCAGAGCTGAAGAACAAGGTTCTAAGGTGCAAGTTGCCCTTCTGCTAACACCAGACACCCCTGCCTGGCTGCACTGCAGGCCTGGAGAACAGGAGGGCTCACGGAAGGACAACTGTGGTCCTCATCTGACTACTGAGGTCCTGTGGGCATGGGGAGGTGGCCAGGCCTGTGCTCCCGGGTCCTGCAGGGCCCCATCCACACTGCTCCACAAAAACACAACTTTTGCGACAAGGGTGTTTTGGAAAGTGCCTGGGGTTCTTGTTGATAGCCGAAATCCAGGTCAAAAGCCAAAGCAAAACACAAAAGTAGGAAACAGACTCACAACAAGCGCTTTTTTCCSCCCCCCYCCAAGAAGTAATCCCAAGAACCTGCAACAACCATAGTGAGACGCACGAACATAAGCACATAGCACTGACTTACCCATCCAAACAGCGCCTTGGGAGAGCTCAGCTCAGTCAGGAGCACATTGCTTGGGTGATCCAAGTTCTCCACAGCCACAATGGATCAGGAAATGACMAGGAGCAGAAAAGGTATTTGCTGCTTCCTCACCCCAAAGGACTCCTGCGTACAAGTTTTGATTTGTTTCCTCCATTTCCAATATTCCTAAATTCCCACTAGGGAGAAGGGAATTACACTTTCCTGGATGATAATCCATCTAAATACAGCACTTCTTAGGGAACTCAGCACTTTTCCAAGCCMTCCCCCTCCCTTGTGCCCAGTGGGGAATACTCCCCTCCCTCGAGGGCGCAGAACCATCAGAGCAGAGGGGCTCAGAACTAAACACCCTAGAAGAAGCGGCTGCTCTCTCATTTCTTGCTTATGGCAGAGATGCTTCAGCCTGAAGTGGTAGGAGGTCACCTGCAGCTTTGCTCCTTCGGCAGCTGGTCTCAAGGGTGCTGGGGCAGATCTCCTCCTCACCTGAAAACTGCTTATCAGTTTGGCCAGAAGCTTGGCCAAGCAAGACCCCACACATGCTGCTCCCTTGTCTGAGGGCACAGGGACATGCTGTCGTCAGGAGATGTGCAAAAGCCCATCCCTACGTCCCTCTGTTCCCTCTGGTTGGGGACAGTGCTCTCAAAGCCCCACCACACACCTCATTGGCAGAGAAGGATGGACCCACCTTCCAGAGCCGGGCTGGATCTGCTCGACTTACCTGGAGCACTGGGGAGCTCTAGAAAGTGGGTGATGCTCTTCCTGCAGAAGTCACTTGTGTTCCAGACACCAAAATAGCTTGGAAGCAGCTCACAAGGGCCCTTTGAGCCACCAGCCACCACCGTGCCAGTTCCCAGCATGCAGTCCCCACTGGTAAGCCAAGAACTTACAGAAGCGTGGGTGCCTTGTTACCCTGCTCCCAAACGCAATCCCGGATCAGAACGAGTCAATAAAGCCAGGTTTAGAAAGTACCAGTTTATTTGAGCAAAAAAATAAAAATAAATTGGTAACAGTGGAAAATCCCCAAGAGCAATTACACAAGAGAATCTAAACATCCAGAGACAAGACTCTGCTCCTGCCTTCCCGGTAGCGCTGACCATAGGCATAAAAGCTCTCCCAGTCTACAGTGACCTCTAAACAGCTATTTTTTCTTTCCCGTGCCCCAGAGCCTGTGGTTTCCAGGAACAAGCTTGTACTGGAACCAGGTCAGGGAGTGGAGGTGGAGGAAGAGCCTTGAGACACATCCTCTTGAACCGATGACCCAGGACATCGCTGCCCTGGCATCCCCACTTCACTAGCCTGCAACTGGCAGCACTGCAAGTTTTTTGTTCTGGTGCCTCTAGACACGTCCCCAAGCCTATAGCACAGTCTGTGAGAAGGCTTGAGGACTCAGAGAGATGGGCTTTTTTTTTTCTTTTTAAATAGTCTTCAAAACCGTCTAGTTTGGTACTGCCTACCAGATGACTCCAACTCAAGACTTCACACCCAAATCTCATTTCAGCAGCTGTAACAGGACAAGACCTGCACAAAGTCCTTCCTGAAACCGGGACCTAAGMCACGCACGTTACCCTTCCCTCCAGGAGCAGTTTGGGGAACTGGTCTAACTCAGAGGTAGGAGCTGTTTACCCAGGGCGTTGAAGCAGGAGCTTCAGAGCCAGCGCTGTGCAAAAGCTCAGAGCTCCCACGGGGAAGACCCTGCCCAGGCTTCCAGCTACAGGCACCAGCCTCCTGCAAGGGACAAGGACACGGCCTGACGCCACGGGGGACTGTGCCTAGTGACACAGGGGACACAGCCCTGCCCCAGCCCGCGAGCTCCTTCCTCTGCACTGCGAGCTGCCAGCGCTTGCAACAGCAGCCCCAGGAAGAAGAGGGGCATCTGACACACCATCTGCCACAGCCATGAACGACCTCGGGCACCAGCGGAGGCCCTAGAGACCCCCGGGCACGGTGGCCACGAGCCCAGACTCACTGCCTTCCCTGGCACAAAACTCCTCTCACCCGAGACAAGACACCAGACAGACACAGCACAACGAGCCCAAACCTCTCACACAATAAGGCTGCTGAAGAATCAACTCCAGCCTCTTCACTCTCAACGGTATTCTCAGTAAAATATATAGCTCTATRCGACTGATTATAATATATTACAGACTACAAATATTCCTGTCTTTTCCCTACTTCAATCACGTTATGAATCCGATTTTGCATACAGAGTAATCCTAGGAGTTATTGCCTTTATAATTAAAATTCACAGAATAAAGCTTAAATAGTTTCCACAGAGACTCATTATATTAGTGTTTTACATAAAAAGGATAAAAGTTACCAAATGAGAAAAGCAGCCATTTGAGAAACTATAAATAATTCTATTAAAAAAATCAAATCCAAAAATAATTATGGGAAGACCATAAATATCTTTATCCTCTACAGTAGCTGCTATAGAACTAAAGAAACGTGTAACACACTGTAGCAAGCACTGCTTCAGTTCAGAATATGAATCATAAAAAAACCACATATCTAGAGAAATGCCCAGCCAAAGGAAACACAAAGGGATTGAAAAAATAAATCTGAGGAAATTAAAAAAGTAGATTTTTTTTTTATTTCAAAACAATTTCTACAAACTTTATATAAACATTAGGCTATTTTCCTTAAAATTTTGTTATAAAAAAATCCTACAAACAATCCTGAAAAGGTAAGAGATTGAAGGCAAGGAAAGGGTGCTGTCATAGCCAAACAAAACGGACCGTCCTGATTTCATGGACTAGTGACCCTTGCCCGGGGCCAACAGGAAGAGATAGAAGCCTCCTGGGGAAAACATTCCCACAGGCCCTTTATGGCATTCAGGGATTTTGTGCCCTAAGGGCCCTATACTCCCTGATAAGGCAACGTTATCTGTAGTGTAAGAGATTCATAAATAGTTCTCTGACAACAACAAAAAAATGCTTCACATCAACAGCCTGCTGCAAGACGTCTATTAGCAAGGTTTATAAAACAAAAAGCCATTTCTATAGAAGCGGCCACTCGAGCCCTGACTGCACACTGGAGGTAAACACATGGTGTTTGCTTCCATATAGTCTGTTTTATGTTTATAGACCCTCTACCAAACCAAGCAGAAAATTTGGCATTTTTATTATTGTTACACTAGCTTTAGACAAAACGTGTTTTTTTTCCAGACTCTTTGTATTTCATTGGGCCCTTGATAGCTGAGCAGGATGGAAAGGGTCAAGGAGAAAGGGTTTTCCCCCCTCAAAGTTGCTTTGAAATTGAATCCCGAAAGAAYATTTTTTTCAGCATGCCTCATCGGAGGGCACGCTGTTTCCAAGCAGTCTGTTTGATGGGCACAAGGTGCTGTTGAGCTTTAAGCGTAGAACTCATTCGTAGGGGCTTTCTTGTAGATGGGTTTCTTCCCGAGATCGTAACTGCCTTCGTCCTTTTTCTTCATGCGATAGACTAAGAGGAGGATCAGGAAGACTGCAAACAGGAGGCCCACTGCCCCTCCTGCAATGAGAGCTGGAAAGAGAGCACGGATTAAGTACCAATGCCAGGAAAATGATCTGAAGCCCTCAATAACTCGCTATGTGAGCACACTGTGGGGACCGTGCTCCTATTAAACAGCAGCTTCCTTCCCCAAGGCAGGAAAAGAAAAATCTCTCTCATACAGCAAGATGATCACAACATTTGGACCAGCTTTAGCTCTTGCCGTGACACCTATATGTTGCACTAAGTTGTTTTTTCTAAGCCCTTGATGAAGTTTGCCTCAGGAAAGGTTTGTCCTGAGTGCTCGGGAGTAGCCAGTTGCTTGGTTTTGCTCTATACACAGCTACTTAGATGCAGTATCARTTGAGTAGGTGCTCAAAAGTCTTAAGGGTTTTTTTTGTTTTTTTCCTGGCAAGCAAGGTGCTTGCTCAGAAAAGGCAAGCCGTGGGCAGCAGGAAGAGGAAAACGGCCTGTATTTGATTTAAAACTTCATGATGTCATTGACTTGTGGCTAGATAAGCCTCCCGTTGCGGTAAGCGAGGTGCAGAGCAGCCCAGGAGCTGTCACAGAACTCGTGACATTTGCCTAAGCCAACTGCCAGATGGCCAGCTCAAAAACAAGTTGATCCCTCACCCCGCCACTTCGAGCAGGGTGTTTCTTGGCCACATAAGGCCTGGAGGGCAGGAGTGACCCTGCTACAGGCAGTCATGGAGGCAATGGCATCTCACACCCCTTCTCAGAAAGGAGCTGACCCCCAAGGATGTAAAAGATTTTTTTAATATGTTTTATAGAATATTTCTCACCAGAGTTCAAGGACAAGGTGRAGTATTACCTGTAAGCACTTCTGTTCTTTCAAAGATGCTGCTGTTGGCTGTGCTTGCCATGGAGATCTTGTTGGACAGGTTCTCTTCGACAGGCAAGGCTTTGTCTGGCACGATTTCATTGTCCACCATGGTGTTTTTGTTCTCACCTTCTATCTTTCGCTCGGTATCTCCAGGGATATAGTTGTCAGCTATCTAAAGGGGAGAGACAAGCCACACCCGTCAGTAAGCAGCACCCAGCCTACCCATGACTGAGAGCAGGCGGGGTGCGGAGGAAGGAGTTTGTTCAGTGCATGATGAGCACCCTGCCATTGCACACRGAGCTAGTGCAAGCTTCACCCTGAAATCCCAGGGAAGGCTATTCAGAAAGCTTCCAAGACAGGTCAGGGCCATGCGCTGGGTGAGAAAGGCAAGGGCAATACCTACCACAGGAGTATCCGTGGTGGCTGGGAACACGGTATCTTCAGAGTCTTCRTAGTCTGCAGGGGGGACAAAAGGGGACATTATTTCCCTTTAATTACAAGCCATTCTTCCAGAACCCTGACACTTCCAGCAATATCAGCAACTGCAATCAAACCAGGACTCTTATTCTACCCCAACTGCAGTTCCAGTTATCTACRGGTACTTTCACTGCTCGATGACTTTGCACAAGACCACAAGATGCAATCTCGAGACCAATAACTCCCCATGGGAGAGATCTTCAGTCCTATCCACTAGTCACAGCTTATGGGGAGTTGTTCTGCAGAGCTGGTCTGGTGCAACACGCTAGGCTAACGCCAGCAGAGGGGAAGGCTCTTGCCACCCATCCCTGCAGGTTGCTTTGCTAACCCTCACCAGATCTGCCCCAACATGCCAGGCATAATTTCAGCACTTCTTTCCCTTTAGAGGACAAACCTTCACATAAAGGGGACACGGAGCTGCTGAAACTGGTTTGGGCAAGGAGCTTTACATGTCACAAAGAGTTCATTCGAGCACCGGAGTCCTTTGCCTTATTTGGCCTCAGTTACAACATAAACTCTTTTAAATTCTAATCATAACCATCTCAGCAGTTTTATGGAGCTCAACAGGAAAAAAACGGGGCCAACGCAACACCTTTCACTTGCAGGAAGATGAGCTTAGCTGGACACCATCTGTCCTCACCGAGGGATTCAGCAGCACGGCACAACCACTTTCACCATTCTCCTCTGCAAGGGCCCAGGACCTACGTGGCTTCCTCCCTTGCACCTGACACACTGTAGTTGCCACTGGAGCTCTGGTTGGGCCCTTAATTCATCATYTGTGGCTGCTGCTGCTGGGAAGGGTCACACTATGAAATGAGGGAGAGCCACCTTCCCCCCTTACCTCCAGAACCAGATGCCTCATATTCATCTAATCCATCAGTAGTCAAGCGAGGCTTGAAGTCCCCAATGTCTTCATCGTCAGGCAAGTCTCCGGAGGCCGGGTAGTCAAACCACCTGGCATCCATGGTCTCAGTTTCTCTCACCTGCAAACGGGCAGGAGGGGAGAGAAGCGTTAAGTAAGAAGCAACTTCTCAAGATGGTTTCATAAAAGGTCAGGAGTTCAGACTCTGCTGAGCACATCGTTTCCATCACAAGGACATTAAACGCTGAACTTCCCTTCCACCTACAACATTATCTTCATTGGGCTGGAAATAGCTGAATTCCCCCCAAATTTCTCAGAATAGAACCGGAAGCCTGTCTGGAAGGGGAATTTCATGAGGGCAGCAGATTCAGGTGGTTCACTTGAGCAGTCACGGGGTGAAATCATCACAACAGGAACCGGATCAGGAATTTATAGCAAAAGCTTTTGGAAGAACAGCAGCTACAGATTGTCATACAGATTCGTAAGGGCTTGCTTATATCCGCAGAATGAGCCCCTCGCCTACAGCACCAAAGATCAGATTATTTCATTGCACTGAAACTTCAGATCAGGGCAATTTGGTGCTTCCTCTACCGAGAACAAAGCTACTTTATCACCCAAGGGTTAAGAGCTGGCTTGTCAGCTCAACTGAATTGCAGTGCAATATAGTATGACGTTCAAGAACATTCGCTATCAGGATCGACTTGCCTGAAGGAAGAACTTGCCCCGTTTCACCTCTTAAAGCTCCTGTAAACAAACAAGGCTGTAGCTTGAAAATGAAGCCCACAATCGCGGAGTCAGACTCACGTTAGCAAAATAGCAGCACAAGAGAGGTGCTCTGCTGAGCTGCCAAATAAGCAASGCCAGAAGAGCCACCTGCTTTGCCTTGAGGGCAGTTTATCCATTTAAATTTGGGCCTTTCAGGTGCCCCGGGATGAAGTCTCCTTACCAAGGTTATGCAAGAGCCCAGCACAATTTCTCCGCGAGCCCTTAGCCCTGGGGCCAGCCCTCGTGAGGGCACCGCAGACCGGAGCTCACAGGTTGCCCAAGAAACCCACACATTCCARCAGCTTCAGCTGCTTCTCATTCCAGAGCCGTGAAGTCATCTGCTTGGGAGGGGACTTAACCCCTTCCCTAAGGCCACGCAATGCGGACAGATGGGTCTTCCTGGCGTCCAAAATTCCTCCATGCTATCCCTGCAACTGCTCCATCTATGGAAACATTGGAAATGCTTCCCCCCTACCTTCCTTCCCATTTCCTGCCCCTTTGATTGAAGCCCTGCAGGTTTATCTGCATATCAAGTTGTTCTTAGAGAGGCACAACAAAAGCCATATCTTTAATCCACGTTTGTACAGGGGAATTTAGGGCTATGCAGGTTAACCATTAATTGTCCCCACAGCTCTTGGGGCTCTCCCAAGAGCTCTCTCCTGGTTTTACCAGGCTGGGAGAGCCCCAAGAGCTGCAGGGACAATTAAAAAGGGAACAATTAAAACCAGCACTGGCCACCTCAGCCTTGATGCCTGCAGCTTTCTCAGGGGACAAGGCAGCTCCAACAGCTTGGGGCAGTTTTGTTGCCAGCCCGGTCAGGTGTGACCCCATTGCACAAGGCCTCGGTGAGGGAGGCTGATGAATTTAATCAGCTATTGATCCTCTACAGGGTAATTAGTGATCAGCCATGAGCCCTGCGTCACCTTCCTCCCCCTGCCAAATCCCAGCCTCGTCTCTAGCCTAGGTTTCCCTACTTATTAACATCCTGGTTTAGCCACAAACAAGAGCCTTGCGGCCGGAGCGAGATGGTTTTTCCTCATAGCCCAGGATTGCACAAGGAGCAGTTGGAGGCTGCACGTGCTTTTCGTTAGTTTACAGAGGCATCTTTGGTCTCCTCAGCAACTGGGCTGCAGGACGAGCAAACCAAGAGCCCAGAGGGCACCMAGGGCTGAGGGCAGCTCTCCTAGAGAGACCCAGCGGCTCCACTCTGCCCACGCCGGGCACTAGGGAATGGCGTTGGGGAAGGAAGGAGAGCTGGAAAGAAGCCCCCTCGCAGCCTGGAACAAGGCATTCCTAACATCACAGCTCACTTGCTCCAAGGCAAATCCAAGATATTTGAAGCCCAGCCAAAACCAAGCATGCAACAGAAACTGCTGCCAGACGGCAGTTGCTGCTCCCATTGAGGGGCAAGAAGGCAGAGATTCCAGGTTGCTCCCCAAGGAGCAGCTCTGCACAGACAGCGCAGGCCAAGGAGCTCCCGCTTCGCTGTGAGTCCTGGCCAGCTCCCGTCCTCCGGGGCGGCTGCAGGAGGGCCCGGCCGGGGCGGCTGCGCCGCAACGTGGCCCGCGGCCACGGCACTGGGCAACGCGCCGGGCTGGGCCGGCAGCAAGGCCTCCTTGCATCGAGGCAGACGGTGTTTACAAGGCAGGGGACACAACAAGGAAATGACTGACTCACCGCCACAAATAAGATTATATGGGAGCGTGCTCTGAACTCGCTTTTCATCAGTCTCTCGAGCAAGGACGGGGGAGTTCCTAGAAGCCAGCGGAGCTTCTCAAACAGCACGCGCCGCTGTCCTTGGGGGCAGCGAGCCCCTGCGTCCCAGCCCATCCAGCAGCTTCTCCCTGGAGAAGCTTCCAGGGAAGCTGGAGGGCTGCTGGGCGTCTCYGTACGGATCCTCTAGCTTCCAGGACCCCGTCTCATAGGGATGGGGCTGTTCCCTGGAGCTGGRACAAAGGCAGTGGTGCAGCCCCCTGCCCAGGAAGGGTTAAGGTAGCAGGGTTGGGGCGGGCTCTGGAGCGGGCACATTCCTTGCATACACACCTGGCAGGAGGCACAAGGAGACAAGGTGAGCCCAAAGCGAAGCCCAAAGCGAGGCTTGGGGCTCTCTAGGCACCACCAGGTGCTTTCCCAAGCTGCGCTCTGGAGCGCTCTCCCTTCCCAAGCGGGAAGGGCCACTCTTCCTGCAGTGCAGGCCTCCAGCCACGAGGCAAGAGCTGAGCGGCTGCAGCAGGATGACATGCAGCTCTTGCCAAGCTGGCCCTGGCCACATACAGCTCAATTCCCCCTGCCAGTGCCAGCTGGAGAGGGGCAGCGGCGCTGCCCGGGGGCTGCTTTCTGCCACCCGCCAGCCCAGGCTGGGAGATGGGCCAGGAAGTCGTTGCGAGGGCCAGAGCCAACGGCTGCCTGGCTCCACCTTGCCCCGGTGCCCAAGTCGAGCCCTGCCTCTCACGCGCTCCTCTCCACGAGGCCTTTACAGAAACCTGCCACTTCTGCAGAGGTCTAGATCCAGGATTTCTAGTGTTAAGCAGCTTTTATCCCCAGTAAGCACCAGGAGGGATTAGCYGGTGTGCCGGGGGACAGAGCGGGAGCTTTTCCTGCCTGCCAGGAACAAAAAAAAAATCCAGAGCTCATTCCCGGCCAGCCAGCACGTCGGGCGYGGGTGCCAAGCGCCATTCCCGGAAGAGCCGGGCGCCAAGGGCTCGAGCTCGAGGCCACACGGAGTCACCACCGCTTGCTCTGCTCCTGCAGCAGCAGCGCCGAGCGGGTCCCCTCGCGCTCAGGGCACAAGCTCCCAGCCGGGACTGCGTGTCCCTGTCACCCTTCCCATCCCTGGGACCCCTCCCAACACACAGGTTGCCCCCAGGCTCTTGTCACAGCCAGGACATTCCGGGACATTCACTGTGGCACTAAGCAGAGCCTGTCTCCTGGGCAAATTCCCCAGCCGCTGGCGACTTCTGGGAACTAGTAAGTCCAGGCTGCTCAGTGCCCAGCCCACATATCTCACCAAACAAACAAACAGAGAGGACAGTCTGGGGCAGAGCTTTACAGACATGGAATTGGCTTCTAGGAATTGGCTTCCAGAACTGGCCATCRTTCCCAGGCCAGCACAACAGTGCCCTAGGTCACTAAATACCTCTTTGCAAGGGGATGCAGAGCCGGGGCGTGGGGAGCCGGACACCCCGAGCGCCGCGAGCTCCTGATCCAGTTTACAGCCCTGCAGCGGTGGCCGGGCACTYGGCCCTGCGTCTCCCTTCCCAGCACTGTGTACACAAGCCCGGGTGCAAACAGGAGCAAGGTGAAAGTCAACCTTTCCCATACAAAGGAGCATGGAGCAGGGCCAGGCTGGGTGGTGGCAGAGCAGGGAGAGCTGTTAACCCCTGGTGGCCTGCAGGGACAGAGGAGCGTCGGTCACTGCTGCTGCTTTTGCCAGGTGCTCAGAGTCCAAGGCTGGTGGTTTGGGTATCACTTCACCCGACCCGGGCTTAAGAACAGGCTCTCAGGCTATGGAATAGATCCGAGCCACTGGCCCTGGGTGTGTTGAGGATGGCCCTGCAGTCAGGACTAGGTCTCCAGCCATGGAGGTCCAAGAAGTGCCCTGTGTTGAAAGGAGAAGCCCACACAAGAGCAGACACAGGTGCACGGGGAAAGGTGCTTACTGGACACCAGGGTGTCACTGTCAGCACCCAAGTGGCCAGGGCACCCCAACTGCCACACTTGCACTGGGCAGTCCCACTGTGTCACCCCCAGGTGCCTGCAAAGCAGCAGGCCCTGGTTGTGGGAATTCCTTCCCTACTCGGTGCTCTTGTAGCAGCGCATGATCTGGGAAGGTTTAAGCTTTGGGAGAGCACGGGGGCAGTGGCTCTGAGCAGAGCCAGGTGGCTAAACGAAGCCCATCTCCGAGCAAGSGAGCTGTGCAGCCAGGTAACAGGCAGAGGCAGCTCTATTTTCTCACCCTAATAAGCATTAAAAGTAATTAAAAGCAACATGAGCTTCCAGCAGAGACAGCTCCTACCAGGTTAGGAAGGGAAGGGGCTGCTATTCCCCTCCGAAACAGCCCTTTCCTCCTCTCTCCCCCTGCCAACACCAGCTCAGAGCAGGGGGCAAACGTCACCTCTGTCCTSGGCGCAGAGCAAACACCATTATTTCAATCCAGCTCGCACCTAATCCCTTCCCACATGGGGCACAGTTAACCAATCCACTTGTGCTAACTCCTCGTGCCCCTGTGCAGAGGGGACCCGTTTCCCTCCAGTCCCTGGCCGAGCTGTCCCACGTAATTCCCAGCACACGTGGCCCGCGTGCCAAAGCACACGAGCTAATCGGCTTCCAGGCACACGTGGGTTTGGCTGCATGACA